GTCAGAAATGAGAAATAGATGCCATACACTTGGACCAAAACTTGAACAGATCACAGACATTCTGTAAGAATTTTTTGCTACTTCCTGGGGTTTTTTGCAGGGTTTTTCTGTTTTGGTGGGGTGTTTTCTTTTGTTTGTTTGGGTTTTTTAATGTTTGTGTTGTTTTTATTAATGACATAAGCCGGTATCTGCTCTCAAACCTGGATTTTTTTCCTTTAATGGCCCCAGAATGCAATTACCTGACACCCAAGAAAACTTATTGCAATGTTAGTTTCCCAGAAGATTTCTTAACCATTTTAAATAGAAAATATTATTTTTTAAAATAATTACAGTTGCAGGCGAAAGTATTGACTGCAGCTAGGGAAGAATATTTGGTCTTACACACACCTGGCTGCGATGTTTTCTGTCAGTGATGAAAATCGGCCAAGGTCAGAGGGTCAATGAAAACAATGGAGACTTGAGGTTCCAAATACCTGCTCTGAGGTTGTGGCATTCAGAGAACAGCACAGCTCAGGACACGCCACAAATCTCACTGCAGGAGAGGGCTGAAAGTAGATGGGAATGCAGCTGGGAACTTCTCCCTTCCCAGCCCACACACCTACAGGGGAGGATGAAGATCACAGGGAGCAGAGGCAGCTCTTTCCTCAAGGACTGGGTCAGAACCAGAGGCCTGTGTGGGTGGAAAGGGTGCTTTTTGTTAGATTTCCTTTGTGCTTACAAAGGACTAAATTATTTGACTGCAGCCCTGTCAAAGTGGGTGTTTCAAAAGCATTCCTTGTCAAAAATGATGGAAGGTATTAATCGAAAAATTCATCCTTTTATTTTTACCACTGTAAATCTCAGGAAGCAATTATGAGGATAATTCACTTTGCAACTAGAAAACAAGTAGATTGAAAAGAGTTATAGAACAGATGGAAATTTTAATACCACATAAAATCCATAACCTTTTTGTACTTGCACTCCTGCTTATATTGCATGTAGATATTTTCACTTGCAAAGGTAGTAAGAAAATGGAAGAAATAATTCCTGAAATAAGAAGAGAGCACATAGAGTGTTACATCTGAAATCTGAACTGCAAACAGATGAAAGGAGATTGACCTCCTTTTGTGCAGTAGCAGAGCTGTGAAGAAATGCACACCTCTCTGGTATGCATCCTTTTTCCTTTTGCAGCAAATAGCAGCCACCTCGAAAATAAACAATCTGAACTCCTCACATGATCAAGTTTTGGGTTTGTTTTGGTTTTTTTTTCTTTTTCCCTTATGCCCTTGGGACACAGCAAGGTTAGTGCCTTCAGTCATTCCACTCAGAAAAGAAGAAAAAATTACCATAGCAATGGCATTGGCCCAATCTTTAACACGTAAAAAACCATGTTGAAGCAGAGCTGCCTCCAGCTGTGCCCGAGCCCCAAGGCTGGGCTGGGGCAGCACAGGCACTGCTGGAGCCCGGGCTGGGCTGAGCTGCCCCAGGGAGCCAAATCTGTCTGAGGCCCTTCTGCTCTCTGCATCGGGGGCTTTGGAAATCGCTGCTGCCAAGGTTCTGGGGTTTTTTTTCCCCCTTATGCTCTTGGGACACAGCAAGGTTAGTGCCTTCAGTCATTCCACTCAGAAAAGAAGAAAAAATTACCATAGCAATGGCATTGGCCCAATCTTTAACACGTAAAAAACCATCTTGAAGCAGAGCTGCCTCCAGCTGTGCCGGAGCCCCAAGGCTGGGGTGGGGCAGCACAGGCACTGCTGGAGCCCGGGCTGGGCTGAGCTGCCCCAGGGAGCCAAATCTGTCTGAGGCCCTTCTGCTCCCTGCATCGGGGGCTTTGGAAATCGCTGCTGCCAACCCCACGGGAGAAGTGGAATGGCCACGTTTCACAGGCACCTGCAGCCCTGGAGCTTCAGCCTCCCCTGGTACTTACTTGTCATGCACAACCTCACAGGATGTGCGTGTGCTGCACTTCAGAGTTAGCACAGCAGCTCACAGGTCCCAGCAGGAATTGGCATGGTGCAAAGAACAGGGGGAAACGCCAGGAAACTGCAAAAGAGCTGGGATTAATTTACAGCATTTATATGAACCCAATCATGTCTACTTTTCTTCTTCACCCTACAGGTTTGTTTCCTGACAAAGGTAAAGTAGAAAATACTTTAACTACTGTCTGGGACAAAACTGAAGAGGGAATACCTTGTTTCTGGATTTAAAAGTCCAGGGCCCTGGTCTGCCCTTCCAGGAGATATCCCACCCTTTTCTTTGCCTTCTCCCTTCTGTTCCCAGGGCCTCTTGCAGCTCCAGGTGTTGCTGGAAGCCACAGAGCAGCATAACCTGATGAGCTCCTAATCCCAAAGCAGCCCCATTGCCACTGTGCAGTCCTGCTCCATCCTGTGTTACCCTGCATCTCCCACCTCCCAGAGGTGGATGAATCCTTAAATCACCGTCCCTGGGACCAGTGCAGGGAGCAGGAAAACATCTGCTTGTCACACATATACTTACAGGAGAGAAATGCCCTCCCTCATTTTTAGCGTGACCTTATTTAAACAGCAACTAAGTGAACATAAAACCTTAAATGAATGTAATACTTGGGCTACAGGCTTTGGTTCCTAGCTATATCTCATTTTTCCATAACTGCTTAATAAGGTGTACGTCTCAATGAATTACATGTAAAAAGTAAAAGCTCACAATGTTCTACATTCTTGAACTGAAATAACTTTGTTTAGTATGGTTTTAAATTATTCCTTTCAAGTAGACATTATCAGATACTATTATTCCCTACTTTATCTTGCACATTTCTGTAACTGTTTAAGGGACCTAAATAAAAATACAAACACTTTAAAGGAATTTTTTGTCCTTGTGAATTCTGCACAAATATATCCATGAAAATAAAATGGAACCTTACACACTTAAATGGTGATAAAATGAATTAATAAGCACGGAAAAATTATAAACTTCTATAATGTAAAGAACTTTTGAGCTTTGCATGGTTTAGTATTGAAGCTAAATTTTCTCAGTTAATAATAACAGAAGAGTTAGAAGATTTGAAAACGGAAAGAGTATAGACTGCAGGTTTATACAAGAAGACAAAGCATTAAGTAAGAATAGGCAGTGAAAAATTGGCGGTATTAGGTAGGGGCGGGAATTTTAAAATTCGAACCAACCAATGACATTCAGCATCCGCCCGTCGGCCAATCAGAGGCTGCAGCGGCGCTATAAATACCCCCCGAACACACGGCAGCTCTTATTGCAGGTCTCGGTCCGTGTTTGAGTGGTCGCACCCTGAGCCATGGCGCGCACGAAGCAGACGGCGCGGAAGTCGACGGGCGGCAAGGCGCCCCGCAAGCAGCTGGCCACCAAGGCTGCCCGCAAGAGCGCGCCGGGAGGGGCAGGAGCCCAACAAATGCTGTCCGTATGTTCTCAGCGTAAGAACTAAACGGAAAATACCCCATACCAGGAAGAAATTGCATGGAGAGGAGGACGTTTTGGCAAGACTTTGTTAACAAAAGATTGAAAAACATTGCTACTTTATCCAACCAAAAAATAAAAAAAAAAAAGTTGAAACAAGAATTGAGTAATTAATACAAAACGGCTTTCACTGTTTAGATAACTCAGCTCTCTTAGGACCTTGTGGGTGGCTCTGAAAAGAGCCTTTGGGTTTCGCTTCTGGACTCCGGACGCTCCCGCCGCCTGCTTTACTTGCTCTTGGCTTTGTGACTCTCCGTCTTCTTGGGCAGCAGCACGGCCTGGATGTTGGGCAGCACGCCGCCCTGCGCGATCGTCACCTTGCCCAGCAGCTTGTTGAGCTCCTCGTCGTTGCGGATGGCGAGCTGCAGGTGGCGGGGGATGATGCGCGTCTTCTTGTTGTCGCGGGCCGCGTTGCCCGCCAGCTCCAGGATCTCGGCCGTCAGGTACTCCAGCACGGCCGCCAGGTACACCGGCGCGCCGGCGCCCACGCGCTCCGCGTAGTTGCCCTTGCGCAGCAGCCGGTGCACGCGGCCCACGGGGAACTGCAGCCCGGCCCGCGACGAGCGCGACTTGGCCTTGGCGCGCGCCTTCCCGCCCTGCTTCCCGCGCCCGGACATCTTCTCTCGGTCTCTCGCTCGCTCGGCCAACAAACTCCCAGCGACACCGACACTCAGCGCCTCCGATACCGCCGCCCGCGGCCCTCCGCCTTTATATCCCCTCCCTGCGCGCCAACGCCGCCTCCTCATAGGCCGACGCTCGCTGCCGGCCCGCGCGCGGCCCAATGGCGCAGCGGATCCCGCGCTGACCAATCGCCACGGCCTCAGCGCCGCCAGGCTCCGCCCGCACGCTCCGCGCGGCCAATGAGGAGCCGCGGAGGGCGGGGCTCGGCTCGCGGCCCCTCCCACGGCCCGGCCCGGCCGCGCCGCGCTCGCTCTGCCCCGGCCTGGGGGGGCTTTGAGAGCAGCCGGCCCCACAGCGCGGCCCTATGGGGGGGCCCAGTCCAGGAAAATACAGAGGAAAAAAAGAGACTGCGGCGGTGTCCGTGAGGGGGAAAAGGGGGACTCTGGACAAGCATATACTTACAGGAGAGAAATGCCCTCCCTCATTTTTAGCGTGACCTTATTTAAACAGCAACTAAGTGAACATAAAACCTTAAATGAATGTAATACTTGGGCTACAGGCTTTGGTTCCTAGCTATATCTCATTTTTCCATAACTGCTTAATAAGGTGTACGTCTCAGTGAATTACATGTAAAAAGTAAAAGGTCACAATGTTCTCCATTCTTGAACTGAAATAACTTTGCTTAGTATGGTTTTAAATTTTTGCTTTCAAGTAGACATTTTCAGTACTATTATTCCCCACTTTACCTTGCACATTTCTGTAACTGTTTAAGGGACCTAAATAAAAATACAAACACTTTAAAGGAATTTTTGTCCTTGTGAATTCTGCACAAATATATCCATGAAAATAAAATGGAACCTTACACACTTAAATGGTGATAAAATGAATTAATAAGCACGGAAAAATTATAAACTTCTATAATGTAAAGAACTTTTGAGCTTTGCATGGTTTAGTATTGAAGCTAAATTTTCTCAGTTAATAATAACAGAAGAGTTAGAAGTTTCGAAAACGGAAAGAGTATAGACTGCAGGTTTATACAAGAAGACAAAGCATTAAGTAAGAATAGGCAGTGAAAAATTGGCGGTATTAGGTAGGGGCGGGAATTTTAAAATTCGAACCAACCAATGACATTCAGCATCCGCCCGTCGGCCAATCAGAGGCTGCAGCGGCGCTATAAATACCCCCCGAACACACGGCAGCTCTTATTGCAGGTCTCGGTCCGTGTTTGAGTGGTCGCACCCTGAGCCATGGCGCGCACGAAGCAGACGGCGCGGAAGTCGACGGGCGGCAAGGCGCCCCGCAAGCAGCTGGCCACCAAGGCTGCCCGCAAGAGCGCGCCGGCCACGGGCGGCGTCAAGAAGCCGCACCGCTACCGGCCCGGCACGGTGGCGCTGCGCGAGATCCGGCGCTACCAGAAGTCCACGGAGCTGCTGATCCGCAAGCTGCCCTTCCAGCGCCTGGTGCGCGAGATCGCGCAGGACTTCAAGACCGACCTGCGCTTCCAGAGCTCGGCCGTCATGGCGCTGCAGGAGGCCAGCGAGGCCTACCTGGTGGGGCTCTTCGAGGACACCAACCTCTGCGCCATCCACGCCAAGCGCGTCACCATCATGCCCAAGGACATCCAGCTGGCCCGCCGCATCCGCGGCGAGCGCGCCTGAGGTTTCTCAGAGCTTTTCCGCCTGTGTGAAACAAGTATCCCAATCAACACAAAGGCTCTTTTAAGAGCCACTACATGCACAATAAAAGGAGCTGTTGCACTCTTAAGTCTGTATTAAGTTTTAGGGACCTTAGCAAAAACCACTGAATTTATGCAGTTATAGAGTGAATGGGGATAGTGTAATATTTTATTCATTTAAATTTTGAAATATAAACGGGAGGGTTGTTATTTTCCGATTCGGAGAAGGTTATTTTTATAAGTTCCAAATGAGTATGGAAACTTAAAATCTTGCAACACCGCAGGGAAAAAAACCCACCGTGAAACAAAGGTAAATTCAACTGACTGCTCTGTGTGCGAACGGGAGGGTTGTTATTTTCCGATTCGGAGAAGGTTATTTTTATAAGTTCCAAATGAGTATGGAAACTTAAAATCTTGCAACACCGCAGGGAAAAAAACCCACCGTGAAACAAAGGTAAATTCAACTGACTGCTCTGTGTGCGTGTCCCTTGTGCCCCGCTTTTCCCCCTCACGGACACCGCCGCAGTCTCTTTTTCCTGTGTATTTTCCTGGACTGGGCCCCCCATAGGGCCGCGCTGTGTGGCCGGCTGCTCTCAAAGCCCCCCCAGGCCGGGGCAGAGCGAGCGCGGCGCGGCCGGGCCGGGCCGTGGGAGGGGCCGCGAGCCGAGCCCCGCCCTCCGCGGCTCCTCATTGGCCGCGCGGAGCGCGCGGGCGGAGGCTGGCGGCGCTGAGGCCGTGGCGATTGGTCAGCGCGGGATCCGCTGCGCCATTGGGCCGCGCGCGGGCCGGCAGCGAGCGTCGGCCTATGAGGAGGCGGCGTTGGCGCGCAGGGAGGGGATATAAAGGCGGAGGGCCGCGGGCGGCGGTATCGGAGGCGCTGAGTGTCGGTGTCGCTGGGAGTTTGTTGGCTGAGCGAGCGAGAGACCGAGAGAAGATGTCCGGGCGCGGGAAGCAGGGCGGGAAGGCGCGCGCCAAGGCCAAGTCGCGCTCGTCGCGGGCCGGGCTGCAGTTCCCTGTCGGCCGTGTCCATCGGCTCCTCCGGAAAGGTAACTACGCGGAGCGGGTGGGCGCTGGAGCTCCCGTCTACATGGCGGCCGTGCTGGAGTACCTGACGGCCGAGATCCTGGAGCTGGCGGGCAACGCGGCCCGCGACAACAAGAAGACGCGCATCATCCCCCGCCACCTGCAGCTCGCCATCCGCAACGACGAGGAGCTCAACAAGCTGCTGGGCAAGGTGACGATCGCGCAGGGCGGCGTGCTGCCCAACATCCAGGCCGTGCTGCTGCCCAAGAAGACGGAGAGTCACAAAGCCAAGAGCAAGTAAAGCAGGCGGCGGGAGCGTCCGGAGTCCAGAAGCGAAACCCAAAGGCTCTTTTCAGAGCCACCCACAGAGTCGAGAAAGAGCTTGAGACGCTGCGGCCCGGGGGAAGGGAAGGGAGGGAAGGGAGGCTGTACTCACGTCCGGCTGCGTGTGCGCGGTTTGCCCGCGTTCCCTGTGCCCGCCTGGGCCGGGCTCGGTGGCAGCGCTGTGCCGGCCCGGAGCCGCTGTTTCGGGAGGAGCGCGGGACGTGCCAGAGCCAGGGGCGGCCCGCGCGCGCTTTGGGAATGGCGCGGGCGCCGAAGGCTCCCTGGGCAGGGCCGCGGGAGGAACAGCGAAGAGCCGAGTCCAGAGCGCCGCTGCTCCGGGCGGGTCTGCAGCTGCCTTTGAGCCATGGGCGGGAAATGGGAAAAAGAAACGGTGCGGCGCCTGGTCGTGGAGAACTTTGGCATATCGCATTTTGCTATACGTTCCCTGTGCCCGCCCGGGCCGGGCTCGGTGGCAGCGCTCTGCCGGCCCGGAGCCGCTGTTTCGGGAGGAGCGCGGGACGTGCCAGAGCCAGGGGCGGCCCGCGCGCGCTTTGGGAATGGCGCGGGCGCCGAGGGCTCCCTGGGCAGGGCCGCGGGAGGAACAGCGAAGAGCCGAGTCCGGAGCGCCGCTGCTCCAGGCGGGTCTGCAGCTGCCTTTGAGCCATGGGCGGGAAATGGGAAAAAGAAACGCTGCGGCGCCTGGTCGTGGATTACTTGGGCATATCGCATTTTGCTATAATTTTCATGGGGAAAGGCAATTAACCCAAGCGTCTTGCCTTGTGTGGATTTTGTGTTTTACTTCTATTTTGAGCCGCTGAGGAACAGCAGCCTGACCTATGCTAAGTCGGAAGGAGAGGGGAGGCAAGATCGGTACATTTTTATGGGGAGGGAATTAAGGGATAAATACAGTAACATACAAATATCAAGACATAGCAATCCAGCTCTTTTGAAAGATGAAGTGGGTGGCTCTTAAAAGAGCCTTTGGGGTTTTTGTCGCGGTGGTTGGGTAAGGCAAGGCTTTAGCCGCCGAAGCCGTAGAGAGTGCGGCCCTGGCGCTTGAGGGCGTAGACCACGTCCATGGCCGTGACCGTCTTCCTCTTGGCGTGCTCCGTGTAGGTGACGGCGTCGCGGATGACGTTCTCCAGGAAGACCTTGAGCACGCCGCGCGTCTCCTCGTAGATGAGCCCCGAGATGCGCTTGACGCCGCCGCGCCGCGCCAGGCGGCGGATGGCCGGCTTGGTGATGCCCTGGATGTTGTCGCGCAGCACCTTGCGGTGCCGCTTGGCGCCGCCCTTGCCGAGCCCCTTGCCGCCCTTGCCAGCCGCTCTTCGCTGGCCCGTCCCCTGCGGGCGGTGTCGGCCCCGGAGCTGTCTGTGGAGTCGGAGCGGCTCCCCGCGGTGGTGTCCGTCTGTGCTCGGTTCCGGGGATGTTTGCAGCCCGCTGCGCTGGGGCTCGGCCGGCCCCGCCGGCCCCGCGAGCCTTCCGCGGGCGCTGGCGCTGCTCTCGGCCGGTGCCGGGTTTCCAAAAAGCGAACAGCCTTAGGAGCCACCTTCCCGAACTTCGCCCGCTTCTCTCTTGCCACCTGTTGCACAGCATGTAATGTCCCTTTAACATTGCCACATCACTTTTTCTACCCGATGATAGAAACATATGCTTGTCTTCCTATGGTTGCTCTCTTTTAGATTTACAATGAATATTTTCTACCTTACTGTGTTTTTTTACCTACTGCACAACTTTTTTGGGTTTTTTTGGTCTCAGATTTAAGGTATAAAGAACCTACTTTTGGGGAGCACTAATTTTTTCCAAGCATGGGGACGAATATTATAATGTGATTTTGTTTTATTTCCTTTAGTAAGTTGTACTAAATCCTCTAAATATCTTGTTCTTATACTGTGTACTGTATACTGGGAACTAAATATGACAGTATATACAAGTATTGTAAAGAAACTTAACCAAGTACACCTTACAGTGAAAATATTTACCAGAAAACTTTATGTCGACTTCATTAGTCTTTCTCCTTTTTTTGATATGTGTTTTGGGCCTACATATGCTCTGGAACCCTGTTAAGCATCACTTCATGTCAATATGTATATACGTATGTATGTGTATATATATATATAATAAAAAATAATGAATAACTTAATAATGTACAAAACCACTGACTAACCATGGCAAGTATTGTGTTAATTCATCATAAATATTCTGAATGAATTTCCAATAGTTGTTCTTAATTCATTCCTCCCGTTTAAGTTTTCCTAGATGGGGTTCATTGTGGGCTTTTTTATGTTTTTCTGAGGATTTGGTGATGTTTGGTATTCTGCTTGGTTTTTGCTTTGTTTTTTTCTTTGAGAAAATCAGCACAGAACTATTATTATATGTAGAAGATATTTTGATTTGCATGTTATGAACACTAAGTTGACTTCTCTATATTTCACCAGTGAGGACCAGCACTCACTGAATACCTGAAATGTGAGCATATCAGCTGTGAACTGCATCTCAAAATTACTTCCAGCCACAGGAAACAGCAGAAATTGCTGTGAAATGGCTGCCGTGGGCTTTATATGCCTCCAGATATTTACGTACATGCAGAGCCTTACAAAGCAAGCTTTATCCATCACTGTATTTTTATTTAGCACTTTTCTGAATAATGTTTTCACTCACTTATGAGCCATCTGGTTATCTTCCTCTCTTTTATCTTCTACAATGCATGCTGAAGAATCCACCCAATAATCTCCTTTTTTATGCAAGAGTTAAAATCTTCACAAAACTGCAAAGCAGCAGGGACACACTTTTCCCTGAATTTTGGTTGTTTACTCAAAGTTTCAAAGGCTGAAGACTAGATGATAAAGTTCCCTTGGAAGCTTTGCTTCATTCATCTGCAATATACATCGTTAGGTTAGAAATAAATCTTCCTCTTCTCTAAATGCTCAGTAAAGAGATTTTAATGCAAAAGTATTAAGACAAGGGAAACATCAAAAAAGGAGGAATGTAAGTATCCCTTTTTTTTTTTTTTTGAAGAAACAGTAAAATTTTAAGTTATTTTAATAGAAACTGAAAGGGAAATAAACATGTTGTAATGTTACAATGCAAGATGTATTTTGTTAAAACTGCAGCACCGATTTAGTAAGTTTTGAAACTTACAGGCAGGCAGGCATTCCATTCCATGCAGGAAGACCTGGGGTGTGTTCTGAGTAACCACTGGGGTCTGCTCTGTTACACACTAATAGCAACTCACTTACCTGGCATCAGTGGAGTTGGACAACTCCATGAACTGGTTTTTTATATGAAGGAAAAGAAAAAAAAATCCACCTAGGTTAGAAATTTTGCAAACATCCCTGACGTCCCTCACTACACTGTAGAAAACCTTCACCTCCTTGTGCCATATCTGGAGTTTCCAAAGGGAATTCCTGTTTGTTGGTTGTAGATGAGAAGGCCTCACTCACCTCCTACCACTACAACCCTGGGAAGAGCTCTAAAATGCTTCCTAAAAAACCACTGCAGGTCACAGCATTCTTCAATCAGCTTTGGGAATCCGACCTGGAAAGTGGCTCTTTCTAGTCCATGCTTATGATCAGATCTGTACTGTAGACTAAACATAAAATGACCCTTCTCACAATTCACATCTTTGTGCCAGCTCCAGCAGATTTAGGTCTAATGCTGCATCAGAAACTCCTTGTGTTCCGTTTAAGAAGGAAAAAAATTACAGTCCATTTGTGTTTCTGCATGCTGGGCAGGAGGATTTCTGTCCTCTCAATGATATTAGTGGACAAATATTGAGATACAATTTCCATCTGTATTTGAATAGTGTGAATTTTAATTTCTATGATTTAAAAATTTTTTCATTTCCTTAAAATGAGGCATGTTCTATCACACGAGGAAAAAAGCAAAAGAAATAAAATGTTTATGTCTTTCAAATGTGGAATACAGAGTTTTTAACATTCTGAATTGCATATCTCACCTTAGGCCTTGGCCTAGACCCAGAAATTATCAGATAGATAAAATAAGATTACTGTACAACCAAGCCAGAAGCCTCACCATTGTGGAAGCCACAACATTTGGTGAAGAATTTGGGTGCTGTTCATTTAGGCATGGGGTAAAGAAAATACTCAGTCTATGTTTGTTATAGGACATTTTGACTTTACTAGTCATTCAGGAAAATATCAGTGGGCACAGAGAAAAATAATGGCAGCCTTCCACTTATTTAAGCAAAAGTAGCAAAAATCTATTGTTTATTTTACATAAGATCACCCATGCTAGGCATCACCTTTGAAATTTGGCATTAAAGCACATAAAACCAATAATTTTTTTACTACTAACCCTATTCATTGTTGGAACAGGAGCAAGGTTAGATGCCCAATTTTGGTAATCAATGTGCATAAAGTGTAATTAATTTACAGCATGTGTGGGATTTTGATGCAGAACATGAACCCACTTGACAATGTTTTTTTGTTGTTTTTGTTTTTCCCCCCTCTTTTAACCTTCTGAAAAAACTGGGTAGAATACCTGTGCAGGCCTGTACTAATTCATAAGCATGTTTATTCCCTGGAAGGAAAGCAACAATAGCTTACTAAAATATTTCAATATTTCTATTGACATTTGCGGATTTTCAAAATATGGGGAAGGCAAATGGAATGATGATACCCAAACACAACTTCTAGGTGAAGAAATGATGGAGTATCAAACCCTGGGAAGCCTCCCTGATACACAAATGCAAATGCACCAGCTTGCCCTGTTGAGCACATGTTCCCTTTTTTGTGTTTTTCTATAGCGGCTGAAAAAATAAATTCTAGTCTACAGTGGCTGAGAAATTAAAGCTCACTGGGCAACACAAATACTTGGATGATTCTAAGCTATTGTGCCTGAATATCCAAAAGCAAAACACAGCTGAAGGAAAAAAGTCAGGCAAATTACGTCTGACTTGCTTCTACACTCAGGTCTGCCCTTCCTGTCTTGTGCTCACCTTTGTTTTGGTCTCCACCAAAGAGGAATTCACAAGAGTTCCTTTCCTGCCAGCATCCACTGCCCCACATTATCAAATCTGCTTTTTCTTGGACTCTCACAGAGGGTAGAGATTATCCCCAAGGCTCAGTGACACCTTACATGAAGGAGAGATGAGTTTGAGAGAGTTGAATCACAACTCTAAACACTTCCCCATTCCTAAGTAAATCAATATACAATCATGACAATGATAATGATGAAAAATACTAATTGTTCTGTTTATATTCCCAGGAATTTCAGAATTCCTTTCTGCCATAAACATACAATCATGACAATGAAAATAACAAAAAAATACTAATTGTTCTGTTTATATTCCCAGGAATTTCAGAATTCCTTTCTGCCATAAAGAAGTAGGAAGAAATAAAAGGTTACTGAGTCTTTCAAGGGTTGATCAAGACTACAACAGTTCCTGTACAAGAAAATGGAGAGATAGCTGCCAATAAATGTGAATATCTTGACACAAATTAACCACTGATATGTAAATATCAAGGGACTAGAAAAGTAGAGATCTTAGCACCAGTGCCTCTGGGTGGTTTTGAACTGTTTTTGTTATGGGATTACTATTACTAGTTTAAAAAAAAATATTTTCAGCTGGCATTCAGTAGTGTCACAGAAGGCCTTAATCCTCCCCCACTATAGGAAATAAGTATCAGATTAAGTGGGCATTAAATTTATTTTAAAAAATATTTTCAGCATTCTGCTGGTGTTCAGCAGTGTCACAGAAGGCCTTAATCCTCCCCCACTATAGGAAATAAGTATCAGATTAAGTGGGCATTAAATTTATTTTCCCATTTCTGTGATTAAGCAAGGAACAATGCAACATTCTGCAGGGACACACCAGGGTTTTGTTATGCTTGTTATCATCATCCAAAACGTGCATTTACTTTTGTTTCAGAGGTTTAATAAGGGAGACCTCACTAAGCTGTATTTTTTTTCAATGTTTACCTTCAAGCAGGGGAAAACAGGTATTTCAAATTACCAGAATAAATCCAGTATTTCCTCTGACTATAGCACTTTAGTTTTTTCAATTAAACGAGGGTAATAAGAAAAGAACACGACAATTCTCAAATTACTGAAGTCGCTGAGTTTCTTCATTTTCACACTCTCAAACAGCGGGGACTCCAGGTTTTACCGACATTTCATTCATCCTTTCGCACCTCCTTTTAGCTCTGAATTTAGCTGCTCGCAGGGTTTTAGGAGCTGATGATAGCCCCGGATATGGAGGGTACAAAGACAATACGGCTGCAGGCAGACTGTTAACTGCTCGGAGTTTGAAAGAAAGAAACATTGCATTGAAAACGAAGAAAAAAAAAACAAAAAAGGAAAAAAAAGAGAGAATCTATGCATTGTTTGTAGTACGGAGCTGCCACTTCCCGGGGCAGGAATGCTCTTGCTAAGGTGTAGGTTCGGTTCTTCTGAAAGTAAAGAAGTGGTGAATCGCCAGATGGTGTTATCAAAGAGAGAAGCTTACGCAACCAACATTCTTTCATTAAAACCGAGAAACCAGTTTTGCCCTAAGTGTCCTGGCTACTCAACACACCCTCAAAAGTTGAATTTTCAGGTTTAACTCCCCGTACAATTCAAAATTCAGTACACTCCAGATTCTGCTTCCCAACCAATTTTAATTACGGGGCAAAGGAGAATAATTACGGCACGTATTAACACTAAAAGCAGATAAAGCGTGATCGCAGTTGTCCTGATTTCGGGATTTAACAAAGGAAAGCTACTTCGTTAAGGTTATATGGAAAATGCAGCGACAGGAGCATCGGTGCACAGAGGGGGCACGCCGGTGCTTTGTCCCCCTGGAATGCCCGAGCACAAGGAAAGGAACACGGACTTGCACGCAGGCTGCCAAAGCACAAGCGCTGCCCGAAGGCACCGGCCGAGGCACGGCGGTGCCTGAGGAGCCGAGCGCGGGGATTTCGGGGGGAAGCGGCTCGGCCGCGGGAGCCGGCGCTGCACCGGCCTCTGGGACCGCGGGGCAACACTGTGTTACTTCCTCGGGTTAAATCTCCATTTGCTCTGACACCAACCGCTCGAACCACTCCGGTTTTTTCCTGATCTGTAGAGGACCTTCTAAAGAACAAGATTTTGTGCCAGTTGTGCCCATTTAGCTCACGGTAGATTTTTAATTTAAAATATAAACCGAAGCTTTCTCCCTGCCGAGGTCTCTGCAGCCGCCCGCCGCTAAGTTTCGGCGGTCGCGTTTCCCTCATTTCTGCTCCTTCTAAGGAGAAACTCCACTGGCTTGTAGCGCAGACTCCCCCCTTCCCTCCCGGCCAGAAACGGGGTGCAGAGGCGGCAAATTTCGTGAGGAAAAAGCGCTTTTTGGACCTTGAAGAAACACAGCGGGCGCGGCGGCGGGCGGCGGAGCGGCGCGGCGCGCACCAATCAGCGCGCGGGCGCCGCTATAAAAGGCGCGGCGGCGGCGGCGCCTCCATTGTTCGCCGGGACCGCGCCGCAGCCGCCATGGCCGAGACCGCTCCCGTCGCCGCGCCCGATGTCGCCGCCGCCGCCCCGGCCCCGGCCAAAGCTCCCGCCGCCAAGAAGCCGAAGAAGGCGGCGAGCGGCTCCAAGGCCCGCAAGCCCGCGGGGCCCAGCGTCACCGAGCTGATCACCAAGGCCGTGGCCGCCTCCAAGGAGCGCAAGGGGCTCTCGCTCGCCGCGCTCAAGAAGGCGCTGGCCGCCGGCGGCTACGATGTGGAAAAAAGTAACAGCCGCATCAAGCTGGGCATTAAGAGCCTCGTTAGCAAGGGCGTCCTGGTGCAGACCAAGGGCACCGGCGCCTCCGGCTCTTTCCGCCTCAGCAAGAAGCCCGGAGAAGGGAAGGAAAAAGCTCCGAAGAAAAAAGCTGCCGCAGCCAAGCCCAAGAAGCCGGCGGCGAAGAAACCCGCCAGCGCCGCCAAGAAGCCCAAGAAGGCGGCGGCGGTGAAGAAGAGCCCCAAGAAAGCCAAGAAGCCGGCGGCTGCAGCGGCCAAGAAAGCAGCGAAGAGCCCCAAGAAGGCGACAAAAGCTGCCAAGCCCAAAAAAGCGGCGGCAGCAGCGAAGAGCCCGGCTAAGGCAAAGGCGGTGAAGCCCAAAGCAGCCAAGCCCAAGGCAGCTAAGCCCAAAGCAGCGAAGGCAAAGAAGGCAGCACCCAAGAAAAAGTAAATGGGTGCGGAAAAAAACCCTGTCTGCCTTGCAGATAAACCCAACGGCTCTTTTAAGAGCCACCCAATTTTTCACAAAAAGAGCTGGAACTCTTAAATTTATTTTCTTTTTAATCTTTGTGTTATCCGTGCGCAATTAAAACTTTTTTTTTTTTTTGACTCTTCATTGCTGTCTCTTTTAGGTGGACCCTGTAACTTCTTTGCGCTGTTCATCGCCGGTGCAGAGCAGCACCGCAGCGGAGCTCAGCGCGGCGCATCTCAAATAAATAAATAAATAATCCCCGAGCGGCGCTGCAAATACCATCCCGCTCTGTGCAGGAAACCGGGGCCGACCGGAGCTCCTCGGGGTGGCGAGAGGCACCGCTCAGGGCGCCTCGGCTCCTGGCGGGGGGATGGCGATGGGATTGGGGATGCTGGGGGCATGGGGATAGGGATAGGGATGGGGATAGGGATAGGGATAGGGATAGGGATGCTGCAGCTCCCCGTGGTTCATCCGCCCTCGGCCGGGAGGCGGAGAGCGGCGCCGGGAAGAGCCTCGCACCGCCCCCGAGCCCGGCAGATTTCGAAAAGCCCGCGCTCCGCAAACATTGGCCGTCGCTCGGGCTTTTCGGGTGCCCGGCCATTTGCGGGTTAAAAAGACGCTCCCCCTTTCTCTTTACGTTCGAATGCCCTGGTAGGTTTGTACCGCCTCTCCCACCTCCCTCATCCCTTCGTCCTTTTTCTCTCCCTGTCCGGTTTTGTGCCCGCTTTGGGAGCCGTGGCGCCAGCGGGCTCCGAGGGATTACAGTTTGGAGCTGCCTTGGTGCAGTGCTGCGCTTCGGCGCTCACTCGCTCACTGGAGCTGCCGCGCTCAGCTCTTTACAGGGTGTTCATTTTGGCCCACTTGGAAGCATAAAAACTTGGTATTTTCAGCACAGGTAACAGCCTATAGCTGGTCACTGGCAGTTCTCCCATCTCTGTTTAAAGGATGCAGTGCACACTTTGTTTTACTTTTTACTTGCTCTGTGAAGAAGTGGCTTACTGGGAGTATGAGGAGAGCATAGCCTGTGGGCCAGGATTTACTTTGTTAATGAGCACAGAGCTGGAGCAAAGCTGATCTCTCACTCATATGACTCAAATATTGTAAGGAATTGTTCCACACAGCAATAAAGGGTGTATGTGTGCAGGAGCACTGAATGCACTGCCTAATGAGCTCCAGTGGTTATACTGTCCATTTCAGGAGCAAAATTACCCTTAAATCAAAAATTCCTGTTAAACTTGTGAAGCTGGGTTAGGCAGATGCGTTTCCCTGCTGGGAAAAGGGAGTGCAGCAGCAAAGAGCAAGAGTGGCCTGGGAAAACTCGTGCTGCGGGGATAAGTGTAAGGTCACGTTTATGCCAACTGCACCACTGGCATGTCAGTCACAACCCAAATTCATCGTTTCTCACCCTCCTTTCCCCTGAGCTTGGGCACTGCTGGCCCTGCAGTCTGAGCTCAGCTGTGGCAGAGCCGTGCACAGCTCCAGGCTGGTTCCCCTCAGAAACAGCCGAGGTTAAATCACCAAATCACCAAGCGTCTGACACGGTCTGGTCCCTGCCTGTCCCTCAGGACCCACACCACCTTCAGAAGGCTTCTCTAGCTGATAAGCAGATTCCTATTCCTGACATAAGAAACGCTGATATTCTCAGAAAAACTCAGGGGTTACTCTTTTGCTATCATGGCTCAAATTCCTTGCTAACCTACTGAACTGAGGTTCAGTTTCGTGATTTATGATTGCAGTGAAGAGGGAACACATCTCACTCTTCTATGACACATTTTTTTGGACATATGGTCATTAATTTTTTAATTAATTTAACATTAAGCATGTTAAGATGCCTTGATACTGGCAAAAGAAAGAAAATGCATAAGCTCTGCTCAGTATTTTCTAAGATGTGCTGGTGTTTAGTGTCTGATCATACTTCAACAAAAAACCAAAGGATATACTTTATGATTAAATGCTCAGCCCCAAAAGTAGAAAGAAGGTAAAAAACAAATCAACAAGGGTTCAGTATTGCAATTTATTACAAGACAGACCTTGTTTCATTTCTTTTCTCTTCCATAGGGTCAGCTGTTTATTTCACAGATGTGCTTACTTAACAAATGTCAATATCAAAAGTCTGTGGTGTTCCAATAATGCAAAATGAACCACTGAATTAGATAAAGGTCTACATACAGCAGAACAGACATAGGAACCTGCCAAGAATTCTGTTTAAGTTACTCCCCCCAGAATAACAAGTCACTTTCTACTGATGAACACTTTTTAATAATGGGGTTACAGAATTTTTCATCAGCATTAGTCACCACAAAGCCCAATGGCCTGTCAGATTACAAAACCAGGTTTCAAACATATGTTTCTCCCTGTGTTCATTCTCTCTTAGTGGGTTATGTTATTCCTGTACTTGTGTACATCTATATCTTTTATGGTAGTTGTCAGGTGAAAGAGTTTGTTTTGCCTGGTCTCATCATGTCTTTGAAAAACAATAAAAAACTCTCCCTTAAGGGCTCAATTCTTAAAAACATCAAAGGTGGAGTTTTATTGCTAGTGAAACTATTCCACTAAGTTATTAACAGATCATCTGTGTTTGGTAGAGAAAATTAGAAGCTAGACTTCCATAAAAAGCAAACGGTGTTAGTTCAGGCACAAAGATGTTTAAACTTTGTGCTGGAAACTTTTGATAAGACAGGGATGTTGAAGTTGTTGCTGAGCAGTGCTTACACAGATCCAAGGCCTTTTCTGCTTCTCACACCGCCTCGCCCATGAGCAGTGCACCAGGAGGTGGGAGGGGACACAGCCCCTCAGGACAGCTGATCCCAGCTGCCCAAAGGGATTTTCCAAACCGTGCAGTTTCGTGAACAACAGATAAAGTTGTGGGGAAGAAGAAGGGAGGAGAGGATTCCAGTGATAGCTTTCATCTTCCCAAGTCACCATCAGGATGACAGATCCCTGCTCTCCTGGAGGTGCCTGTACCCCTGTCTGCCCATGGGAAGCGATGAATTCCTTGTTTTCCTTTGTTTGCATGCATGGCTTTTGCTTCACCAATTAAATTGTCTTGATATCAAGGCACAAAGTGTTTTTTCACTTTTCTGATTTTTTCCCCCCATCTCTGGAAATCAGTGAGGGAGCAGCTGCATTGTGCTGAATTGCTGGCTGGGGTTAAACCATGACAGCTGAATAAAGCAGAGAAAAACTCCTTCCTGTTATCCTGGGCTAAATAAATTGTAAAATGTAAATTATATACATTTAAAGATCAAGTTTGCAGGTTCTCAAAAGGAAGGAGCTGTTTTCAATTGTGAAACACCTACAATGTGTGGGCAGGAAGCTGGGGACAGCCAGATGTGGAGTCTGGAAGAGGGTAACATAAATAGCATTAATACCAGACCTGGTCGCTGCTGCTTGCATGACAGTAGCACAGATTTGAACCAGCTTGAAATTGGGTGCAGAACCACTTTTCAACTAGACACCTTTGACATAGTAAGATTACAGAACAGAGTTTTCCTTCCACAAGTTTAATTTTTACTATCTAGATCACAATGCACCCAGTGTTCTGCTGGACACAGGGTTATCAAATATTCTTCTGTGGGAATTTGAGATCTCTCCTCTACCTAACATGTTGTCAAAGCATAACGAAGGCCTTGGTGTGACTCCTCTTGGGATCCCCATTCACTCTCCATGTTCAATTTTGGACAATTATTTCTAGGCTTGGATTTATGTTGCATTCTGACTTTCACTTTGCACATAGTTTTGTTGATCTCTTTGAACTTCTATTCCCACATGAATTTTGTTCATCAGTCCTGCAGGAACAGCTGAGACATCAGTGAAACCTCAGTGACTGCAGGATTCTTTTTTCAATGATTTCAGGATTGGGCTGCCAACAGCTATGGAAGAATTGAAATGTAAAAAATAATAATAGGATTATAGCTTACATCAAACATTGAAACTTGATCTAGCAAAAGAAATCCTTGCCTGCAGCATGGAGGTGTGAGATGAAAACCAAGGGCCAAGGCAAGGGCTGTAGCTCACTGCCTGTGGCCTGCACTGCACCTCCTGTTATCTGTGCACATCAGGAGATTTGTTCTTGGTGTCAGAGAGAATGATTGGGCTGAAGGGCAGCTCCTGGGGAGATAGGATGGCCACACTCTGCGTGTGAGGAACAGCACAATTGGATCAAAGTCATGATCTGAACTTTGAAGGACACATGGCCAAAACAGGAACTTTTGCCTGATAAAGTCAATTATACATTTAATTGCAGACTACTGTATATGGTGATAACTTCTACGAAGTATGTGCTGCCACATATGTGACTATGCTACTCAGTTCTCCACCTAGATCATGCCACACGTGAGAGGGAGGGTGGGATAAGATCATGTTTTAGATAAGGAGGGTAGAAATTTAACCTGTTTGGGAGGGAGACAAAAAGACCTTGGAGACAGTCAACAGGCTACTCTCCTCTCCCTCCTCCCAGATGGGCAGGCCTTTTTGGTAAACTGCATAAAATAATAACAATAACAACAACAATAATAATAGTAATGTCTGGGTTAACACAACATTATTGTTCTTGTTGGAGCTTTATCCTAGTGCACTTAGCACTGGCAGTTCTGGATTTATAGTTCAGTTTCTTCAATAAACTGCTCTGTTCTCCTGTCTGTGATTACAGAAGTTCTTCAATACAATCACATCTATAGAGCTGAAATGTTAAGCTGCACTATTTGTGAATCTGTGCTCATGTTTCTTATTTTACACTACCAGGCTTACAGTGCTGAATTTGCAGGAATCAAAACTTAAGGCCAGCTGCACCCAGCCCCTCTGATGTGTGAGGATGAGCTGGAATGCAAGGGTGCTCGTTCTCTGTCAAGTTTCTGTACTCTTAATGCAACACAGAGGTTAGTCTGTATGATCTTTGAATGTCTCTTCCATAGGAAATGATTCAATGGATCTTAAGTTACTGTTTAATTTTATCAGACCTCACAGAATAGATGAAATTTAATGTATAATTAAGAATCAGCAGTGAGTGAAGAAGAGCAGGAACTCAGCTCAAAACTTGCTTTTCCAAATGGTTTCTGATTATTTGCAAAGCAAACAGACAGCAAGAGACAGAGGAAAATGTTATGTAGTCACAGATCCTGGGGCAGAAGCAGCTCATTATGGAGCAGGATTTATGTTATGAGATTGTACCTTCATTTTA